TTTTAAAATTTATTGTCCAGAATACATAAAAAAAAATTAATTGCTTCCTGGGGGTTAAAAAAAGTTTTGAGTCGGGCCATTTTTAGCCAGTCGATCGGGAAAGGGCAACCAAACAATTTTTTAAAGGTGGCTAATAATACCCTAATACAAATTTTCATGTTGTATTACTAATATATCCGTCGCCCGCGTGGCGCAGTGGTTAGAGCGTCTGCTCTAGAGTCGCGAAGTAAGGAGTTGATCCTTACGTCGCGGGTTCGAATCCCACTGTGGGACGTGGAGACCGGTCCTTCGGATGAGACCGTATAAACCGAGGCCCCGTGTCGCAGTAGGTGCTGGCACGAAAAAGATCCCTCACTGCTCAATGGCCGTAAGTGCCGAGTATAGGACAAAATTTGCAGCTCTCCACCGGCAAGTGGTGGCGTCTCCATATAAGTGAAAAATTCTCGAGAGGGACGTTAAACAACATACAAACAAACAAAACTAATATACCCTCGGCGGGGCATTCATGTCCCTTGGACATATTTCTTGTTTAAAATAGTTTTGAAAACTATGTTTAAGTTCATTACTAAGTGAAGCAAACAAGAAACAAATCAAAAAAATAGTTCGGAGAGTAACCTGGCGTGTTTTCCGCTTATGGTGACAGAGTTTGGGTAGTAGGGGATATCTCGGCAAAACATTGGATGGATTTACAGAGTTATGCCCCTTTTCTATAGTAATTTTCATATGAAATTGTTGTGCTTTCTGCATGCTCAGTAGATTTTCTTAGAATTTTTTACTGCATATATTTTGTACATGTTAGATTTCATTCATCACAAAATAATTTTTGTTGCAATTAGTTTGACGCTTTTCACTAAAGTGACTGTACTATATCAGCACTTTGACCCAATCATGATTTTGCTCAGTTTTTACTTCTTCATGTTCAACATTTAAACAATAAAATGCTTTCTTTGGTTGTTAGTACGGGAATTAATGTCGCAGCTGTTGCAGAAAAAATACATAACCCGCGTAAGCGGGTTTTGTAATTCTTTTCTGCAATAGCTGCGACGTTAATTCCCGCACTAACAACCAAAGAAAGACATTTTATTGTTTATATTTATATCTATATAAATATTCATTTCAAATAGGATTAAAAAGATTGAATTATTGTATGATTGATATGTACGTCATTGTACGTTTCATTGATGGAAGAGCCATTGGTCAAGAAATCCGTACAGGTCATATGCCCAGTGTTGTTCACGAACTGATAAACGGTAATGGTTTTCTTTAGAAATAAAGGAGAAAATATTCAGTGGATGTAAATATTCCAACATAACATTTTTGACTTAAGCTAAGGATGTTTTACGACCTCGAGGCAAGGTCATTCATAATGAAGAATAGAAAAAAAGTAAAAGGAATAATATGTAAAGCACCCTTTCATGTTTTGGTGTAACTATATATACATATGTACCTTATATATTAAAAAAATCTAGCAGTCCCACTTTAAAAATGAACAGCTTAAATATAGGCCTATAGCTACTAAGCTGCTTGATGGAGATTATGGGCGCAAACAGAAAAAATTCACCGCAGGGCTTTATGGTAGATTTGATCACGTACCAAGCCTTGTTCATATCCTGATTTGATGTTCAAGAAAGCACCTCATTTCTTATATTTACATTTGTGACTGATTTATAAAATATTAGTGTATTATAGTTTGAAAATCCATGAAACGATTTACTTTTGGTAATAACTGAATGCACAGAACATATCGACCACTAAAATGATGCCATATGAACTAGAAATCTGACCAGTCAGCAAGGGCCCCGCCGAGGGTTAGAAATATAAGGGTGCAGATTAGGGGATGAGAATTTTACTTGATTCCAAAATATTCAAAATATATAAAGAATAAGCAACAGCAACTGCTAAATATCCAACAATCTGTAAATAGTATCCTTGTATTTACATAAGGCAGTAAAAAACATCATATCTATAATAACTCAATTAAATGAATATTTAAAAAATGAATGAAGCATGTGTTTTCTAAAATGCCAGCCTTCAGTGAATGCAAATATCACCCAGGCTTGACCTTAACTTCAAAACAAATATCAGTTGCAGACAAAGGTGTTAATTAATCTTAAAGTGACAGAAAGATAACCCTCTAAAATATTCTGCAAACCAGCAAGATAATCAAACCCATGGGATTAATTATACTGCTCTCTCAACCTTTTCTTCTAACTTTTTCAGCAATGATAGAATGAGGTTATTATCTGAATACCTGTTAAAATAATTAGTATTCTTGAATTTACATAAGGTAGAAAAAAGAAAAAAAGAAAAAAGAAAAAAATAATAAAAACGATATCTTTATCTATATCTTGTTTTTAGAATTCAATAAAATCATAACTCATTGTGTATTTTACCAAAGTAAAGTATGAACATTATTTAAATCTACATATCAGAGAATGTAAACATCATTCAGAATTGACCTTAACTTCAAAACCAGAAGTCTCTGACGAGACTGTAGCTCTACTGGTTGTATTTATAAAGGAAGATAAAAGTAGCACTTGGACTTGAAACTTTGCAACAGCAATAAATAGAATAATGATCCTTGGTTTAGTCTCTTTTGTGGCAAGATTTATTATTATATCAGACTAAAACTGTAGGAGGAGTAGCCTTTTAAAACAATTTTACAGAAATTTTGATTTAAGTACCCATGGCAACATCATTCAACAAAATCAAAAAACAATAACGCCAATTATGTATCTTTGTAGTCTACTTGTATACCACATTATACTGAAATCAGACAAAAAAGTGCAGGAGGAGTAGGAGGATTTTCAAGTAAATTTCTATTTTTAGTAACCATGGCAACACTGTTCATCGAAATCCGAAACTGGTACAAAGAATTATGTATCTTAGTGTAGTCTACTTGTGTGCCTAGTACTACTAAAATCAGACCAAAACTGTAGGGGTAGCATTTTGAAGGTATTTCAAGGAAATTTCTATTTTTAGTAACCATGGCAACAATGTTCATCGAAATCATAAAATCAATATAAAGAATTATGTATCTTAGTGTAGTCTACTTGTTTGCCAAGTTATACTGAAATCAGACCAAAACTGTAAGAGGAGTAGCATTTTGAAAGTATTTCACAGAAATTTCTATTTTTAGTAACCATAGCAACATTGTTCATTGAAATCAAAAACTGATACACAGAATTATGTTTCTTATTATAGTCTACTTGTGTGCCAAGATATTCTGAAATCAGATCAAAACTGTAGGAGGAGTAGCATTTTGAAAGTATTTCACAGAAATTTCTATTTTTAGTAACCATGGCAACAATGTTCATCGAAATCAAAAACCGGTCTACAGAATTATGCATCTTAGTATAGTCTACTTGTGTGCCAAGTTATATTGAAATCAGATCAAAACTGTAGGAGGAGTAGCATTTTGAAAGTATTTAACAGAAATTTCTATTTTTAGTAACCATGGCAACACCATTCATCGAAATCAAAAACTGATACATAGAATTATGTATCTTAGTATAGTCTACTTGTGTGCCAAGTTATATTGAAATCAGATCAAAACTGTAGGAGGAGTAGCATTTTGAATGTTTTTCACAGAAATTTCTATTTTTAGTAACCATGGCAACATTGTTCATCGAAATCAAAAACCGATACACAGAATTATGTATCTTATTGTAGTCTACTTGTGTGCCAAGTAATATTGAAATCAGATCAAAACTGTAGGAGGAGTAGCATTTTGAAAGTATTTCACAGAAATTTCTATTTTTAGTAACCATGGCAACAATGTTCATTGAAATCAAAAACCGATATATAGAATTATGCATCTTAGTATAGTCTACTTGTGTGCCAAGTTATATTGAAATCAGATCAAAACTGTAGGAAGAGTAGCATTTTGAATGTTTTTCACAGAAATTTCTATTTTTAGTAACCATGACAACACCGTTCATTGAAATCAAAAACCGATACACAGAATTATGTATCTTATTGTAGTCTACTTGTGTGCCAAGTAATATTGAAATCAGACCAAAACTGTAGGAGGAGTAGCATTTTGAAAATTTGTTTACAGACGGACGGACAGACAGACAGACGGACGGACGACGGACACCTTACTATCGCATAAGCTCTTCTGGTCTCTGACCAGTAGAGCTAACAAACTTCATTTGCAGACAGAGGTGTTAATTAATCTCAATGTGGCAGACAAAGATAAATGCTTTGGATTTTCTTCAAGAGGAAAGTTAATTAATCCCAAGAGACTCATTGCAGCCTTTCACAGCTTACAATAGGATCATTCTCAGCAGTTATCTCTCTTTGCCTATTCACTCTTATATAAAGTTAAGGAATATACCCCACCACCCCAACTCCAAACCAGATGACATAGAGAACCAAACTTAGCATCAAAATATGTCTTACTGCCTATTCAACCAACATACCAAATTTGAACTAAATTGGTCAACCCTAAAAAAAGTTATTAGAAAAAATCAGAAAATTTGTGGACGGAAGAATGACAGACGGACGGACAGACAGGCAGATGGACAGACAGACAGACAGAGTGATTACTATAGGGCACCCGCAAATCCTTGCGGGGCCCTAATTACGTCGACTTTTTTTTATGACTGTGGTGATGTGACAAACCTGCATCTATACTAAAGTGTAGGGCTTGGAAGCTGCTGCAAACCATCTTGCTCACGATAGGTTACTTAGAGCTGTGAACCTTTGAAATGAATTTTGTTAATAATGGGCAATTCAAAGCAATTTTACTTATTTTGTTTCTCACTAGGTAAAAATAATATTTACAAAATTCACACTGAGCATTCTGGTTTTCATTTTCTTCAGTCTAAGGTTTTTATTTTGGGAAGAAACGATGCTCCTAATTTTGCAGATTTTTAGATGATATCTAATACAAGTAACAATTTTAGAAAATTATTCCTTGGAAATAAATACACATTAATATTTTTTTAAAAATCAATTAAAACATTTTTTTCTTTATTAAAAAATGTATTCTTTCTGATAACAGATATTCTACAGTTCTATAACTTTTAATATAATACATTTTTATAGTGAACAAGTCTTGTAAATCATCAAAACATGCACCAGTATATAGTTAATATTAAGGAGGCTGAGGGGTCAACAAATTAACCAGCAGATATAACTTATTTTTTTAGATATGATATCTTAATCTGTCAACTATCATATGGCAAAGAAAAATTTCATTCATTCAAGTTTTAAAATTTGATCATTTTTGTATATCTTTATATGGAGCTCTTCTTCTAAAGGAGATAAATATAGTCTGAAATTGGCCACAACCACCCAGCCCTCTTAATACTAACATCAGTATTAGCATAAAGACTACATTTCATGAACATCAATTTTCTAATAAAATGGACTAAAATACATACAATGTACATTCTACAAACTTCAAGATGCATGTAAAGCTAAATCAGCTAAAAACTAAACATCTGAATCTAAAATCATATTGCTGGTATCTCTGGAAAAAAAGTGACCCCAGTGAAAAGGGCACAAAACAATAATTACTATGTTGATATCAATATGTACAAATTAATGAAAATATTACATCTGAATATATTGAGCATTTATTAAAAAGAAAATAAAGTGGATATTGAGTTCACATCCACTCTATTTTGAAGTCATTTCAAAGTTGATGGATGTTTACATTGTAGCCAGGTTCAGTGTCAATGGATATCCAAAAGATAGTAAGTTCAAGTCAATAGATATGCAAAATGTAGCCTGTTCAAAGTCAATTAATGGATATAATTCAAAGACAATGGATTTCTACCATTGTAGGTATTTCAAAGTTAAGGGATATTTAATGTGTAGCCAGTTCATAGTTGATGGATATCCACACTTTTGCCAGTTGCCTACATTTTAGCTACTTCAATTTAAAGTCTATAGCTATCCAAACTGTAGCCACTTCAAATTAAAGTCAAAGGATATCCAAACTGTAGCCAGTTTAAAGTCAATAGATATCAAAACTATAGCCAGTTTAAATTCAATGAATATCCAAACTACATGTATAGCCAGTTTAAATTCAATGAATATCCAAACTACATGTATAGCCAGTTTAAATTCAATGGATTTCTAAACTATAGCCAATTTAAATTCAATGAATATCCAAGCTATAGCCAGTTTAAATTCAATGGATATCCAAATGGAAGCAGTGTAAATGGATATCCAAACTGTAGCTAGTTTTTATATTGCTATCAGGATTAGGAAGCCTATTCAAGGTACTGAGTGACAATGAAGAATCAAACATGAAAAATATCTGACAAATTAGTACATAAAAAATTACTGCATAAAATTACAGAAAAATGTAAAAAAAAAAAAAAAAAAAAAAAGTGTAAAAAATATAATAGTCTTCACTTGAAATGATTTCTATAAAACCAACATACAAACAGAATCACCTACATGTATCTCAAGTCTTCAAAATGAATATTGCACACTAAGAATGTTTAAAGAAATCTAGAGTAAGGTCGAACTTAGTAGTACAGCAGATATCAATTTTCCTTTAAGAAGCTCCATTTATATGTAGGCTTTAATTAAAATTGAAGCTGCACAACTTTGAAGGACATAATGGGTGGTTTCAAAAAATCAAAGTTCTACATGTATTATTTTGTTCACATGGTCGAAATTAACAGCTCAATACAGAAAATGTATCTAATACACATATACCTGGAATTTCTTGTCAAAATCTAGGAGAATTAATGCAATGTTCAACAGATTAACATGAATTAATACTTGTAAATGTAAAAACCACCTGGAAAATCAGGGATGTATATATTAGGTCCCTAGCAAATCTAAAATCAATAATTGCCAAGGGCATAAAACACAAATTTACTATGATTAAAATTTACTTTATTACCACTTATTACTAATGAACTTTAATAGGCAAAACTGTGGGTTTTTTGCTTTTCAGGATACCTGTACGTCTTTAATATTTTACCTATATATTAACACATTAATAAAAATTAAAATAGAATTATGCACTGTTGAAGTCTGTCTCTATAATGATATGTTCTGTAAGAAAAGGACAGTCTAAGAGGGCGCTGTAGCGGATATCCTGGGTTTAACATTGTGTTTTTTCATGTAAGACATAAACTGATCAGGTATTTCTGCCAGAACTTCTTTAGCTAGGGCTGCTTGACTCAGCACCATGTTACCACGATTTAGGAAATCATTAAATGGAACAAACTACAAAAGAAATTATAAAACTAAGTTTTTCTGAATTTTTACGTCTGAAAGGCATTAAAGGTGTTCAGAAGTGTTCTTATCACTAGGTACTTCTCTCAATCATAAAACAAGGGACATGCATCACTATGACATGAAAATACCTGTACAATGTCTCTCTCTGCATACACCCCATTGTAAGATAATCTGACATCATCTCCATCCAAAATATTCATAGCTGAAAAATTTTATTCATGCTTTACATTGCTAGAGTTATTTAAAAGAAAGTCTCTAAATTTGCATATATTTTTGGGTGAAAAAAAAAACTTGGTATTCAGGCCACATATTTTTCCTTATCTAGTTTCTGGAATGTGCAAAATTTTAATGCTATGTAGATGAAGAAATAACATATCGCGAGTTAAATAGAATGATGTCTCATTTGCTTGACATTTGTAGTGTCAAAACAATAATATGTGTAGAGAGTGACTTGAACTTTGTTTACAGAACTACTTTCAGACATCAAAAGAAGCATTTCTTGCAACATCAAAATTTGGGTCATCCAAGAAGTTTCTATCATTCAAACAGTGTCTGTGGTCATTTAAGGTCTCTTATTAATAAAATTCAATAAATTTTCATTTATCAACACACTTTTGTATTGCAAAATAACTCTTGAACACAAATACATGTTTAAAGAACAAGATTCACTTAAGGCCTTTTTGGCCCTGTGAATTTCTGAAAAATTCAAAACTGCTCAGTATTAGCTGAAAACATATTAAATTTCATTTGGACCCTTGGTGATATCTATTAAAATAATGTAATTTTCTCACTTATCCATGTATTATGATGTCATGAATTGCACCATTATCCTCAAATCCTGAAAATTTCTTCAAAAATGGCAAAAAGTTTAGGCTGTTTTTTCAATATTTTGCATATAGAGCCCAACCTCTGATCCAAAATGTGCAATTAAATAATGAAAGAACTAGCTGTTTCCTAAGATTATAATATATATATATATATATATGTACATGTTTTATTTTTTTTGGATTGAGAGGTGGGATCATATTTTATTTCTTTGCTGAAGGTACTTAAACACAAAAATTCAAAAACATTGCAATTTCCCAAAGCCTCTTTTTAATACCTAGACTCTCAGAGGAAACTTTTTTTTACAGGAAATGAATGTACTAAGTCTCTACTTCATATTGATGTTTGAAATGGGACATTGGGTCTTGCTTAGTTAATTTGTACATGTATATGGGCAGGGCAATTTTATGGATAAAGTGAACCCTAACTCTTAAAAAAAAAGGTTTTAAATAAGCACTTTGATGTAATGCAAATGCATAATTTTAACTCACAACACATTTTTAATATTAAAAATATTTAAGATTGTGGACCATGTCAATTTATTTTTGTCACTTGTGATTGTAAATAGGAACAACTGATCTAGCAAAGAAAAAGATTAGTGATAAGAAACAATTATTAACTTAAGCCTGTGAATGTAGTACAGGGCTTAATGCATAGTACTCCAGTAAAACTCACATTCTTGTTGAAAAAAGTGGACATTTGAGATCTCTTATTAATAACCATTCATAAAATCTTTGTTTTCCAACATGTAAATGTAATGCATGTATCTGGATATACATGTATATGTGCTGAAATTATTGATAGTAATTTCCTTACAAATTTGAACCAAATTTTTTACTTAATACATGTATAGCATCTTCAAAATTATGCAAAATTACAAATCATTTAATATGATACTTTTCTAAATTTAGTGTCATGTAACATTACACATACCAGTAAAGTCAGCATCACCCACTCCAACAATGATAATGGACATAGGAAGTCTCGAAGCCTGCAAGCAATACAGACATGATGACAATATAAAGATCAGATTTGATGTGGTACAAATTTTAATGTAAACTGACAATACTTACATTAACAATAGCCTGTTGTGTTTGCTGCATGTCTGTGATCACCCCATCAGTGATGATTAGCAAAACAAAATACTGACTGCCATCTTGTATAGCCTGGGCAAATCTACAAGAAAATAAGCACTTGGAATAATTTGACTTTCAAAAGTCGCCATTTGTATTGCTTAATTGATATAAACGTGTCTGAAGAATTTGACCCCGTTTACATCTCACACTGAATTTGAAGTCTAAAACTTTATGAACCAAAAAAATTGACAGTAGATCATGTGTATACTTTTACTATATTTCTGAATTCCAAGAATATTGAATAATTTTAAAAATATGTTGCAATCATATGCATCGTACTTGTGAATTAAACAAAGGGAAATAAATCTAAAATATTTTCCTGCACTCCGGATTCTGTCATATCTGGCCAATTTTCATGGAACCAGCAGTGTCTGGTTTGGACAAATTATACTGTAACCTCCCTCTTACTTTCTTTGCAGGGGGTATAATAATTTAAACTGTTACTACAGGGTTACTCTGACAACAACATTGACTTAATTCATACAGACACCCTGGACATATGCTTCACCTAGCCACATGTTTCATATTTATAAAACACATAATTGATGACAAGGTGCAAGTTAATTAATTATACTTTTATGTTAAATACTTAAATCTGATTGGCTTAGAAGCATTGACCAATTTTTAATTTTACTCTCAGCATTAGCAACACACTTAGCAACAGGTAACATAAAGTCTTATACATGTAATTTTTTGTATAAGCGGTTTGCCGTAGAATTCTCAACACATCACTTGTGCACTTGAAAAGAGCTGAATAAACACAGTGTTAACAATTGCTTGATCCAAGTAAGATTGATTGCAAAAAAAAAAAAAAATAAAAGAAAAGTGTTTGTGAGCAGAGTAACAAACAAAAACACTTGAGAGGTTGATGAATCAATTTCGATGCTTTCTTATTGAGAAAAATGTAAGAGAAGCATTTAAATATCTGTTGAAATGAGTTCTGATTCACAACGACAATATCCTACCGACAATATCCGACTTTTTTAATTCATCAATCTGACATTCAGTATAATAAAAGAAATAGTGCATGTTTTGGAGGGTATGGTGTTGGTTGACAATAATTTCCTCTCAGGGTGTCAATTTCAATTATTACCCTCCAAAACATGCACTATTTCTATAAGAACACACACTTTTACCTGGCCACATGATTAATGACGGGGGAGAAGTTAGTGGGACCGTACAGTTGGACGTTCTTCAGTGAGTTGTAGTACGCCTGTAGGACTCCCTCCACTCCCTGACAGAACGGGTTTGAAGGGTTAAAATTCTACAATAGGTCATAAAAAAAGTTATCTTAGAATGGGGAACTGTTGCGTTTTTGTGATTAAAATGATAAAAACAATCTGGTGTAATTGTGACAGTAGTATTGCATCAATTAATACATATACATAATATAAATTCTAAAAATCTGTTATGTAAGCTAAGTCAACAGGCAAAGTTGACTACCATAAATCTGGAAATTTTTACTGTAGATAAATTTTTAGCAAATTTGACCATACATTGCAATCACAAAAATATTTTTCATAAAAAAAAAAATCAGCAACAAAAATGTAAACAAAAATCTTGCTGACAGCTGGTGTCTATTTTTAACCCAGTGAACAGGTGTTCGTAAGCAGTGGTCATTTTAAGAAACCTGTTTACGACAGATTGTAAATGAGATTTGATTTAATGTTATAAAAACTTGAAGCAGTTTATACGTTTTAAATATGTATTCTAATATTTTTATCCGACTATTGAACGGTGGCATAGTTCAATATTGTATGTGCATACATGATTTATTGTATGTACATGCACAACTTATACACTGTTATAAAAATTTTAAGCACTTTTTAATTTTAGCGCCAATGACAATTCGCAAAATTTTAAAACATAAAAATTAATCAACAGCTTTATGACCCAAACTCGCTAAAATAAATCATTGAAAAATTTCCAGATTTATGGTATCACCAGTATTTATATTAAAGATAGTACAACTTGTTTGATTTATAACACCAATTCAAGATACATTTACTGGTGCATATACACTTTAAATGAATTTTAATTTTGGTTTTCATGAATTGAATTCATGTGTTATCTAAATGAATCTGGATTTGATTATATAAAAAAAAGATTAAAACTAATCTGTTACCAATGCAAATTCATGGTGGACAGAGCCATCACTCATTCTTGCTCCAAATCCTAGGGCAGGGAACAGTTTGTCACTGAAAAAAGAATAATTCTGTATAGGAAATCTACCACACTGGAAATAGCTTGTCATTAAAAAAAAGAATAATTCTGTATAGCAAATCTACCACACTGGAAATAGCTTGTCATAAAAAAAAGAATAATTCTGTATAGCAAATCTACCACACTAGAAACAGCTTGTTAGTAAAAAAAGACTAATTCTGTACAGCAAATCTATCATGCAGGGCTCGACATTAACTTTTTATCTTACTTGTCCATTCGGACAAGTGACCAAGGGATTTACTTGTCCGAACTTCAACTTCACTTGTCCGAAAATTTTCCAATAAAGATCTAATACTGTCAACTTGAAAACTAAAATAAAGTCCATTACACATGACATGTGCTTGATCGATTCGTGATGTCATTGATATTTACAACAAACACATAAAACGAAATTTTATCTAGGCTTTCTGTCCTGACAACAACATAAATATCCACAAGTGAACCAAACTTCGTTAAGTTCGTACGTTCCATGCCTTTTCAGTAGTATGCAATTAGTGAACTTCGATCCCGAATCAATGTGAACTCAATTAGTAGCGATCCCTATCGGGATCGAAGTCCGGTTTTTATGTACAGCTTCCGTCTTGAAACTACCGATTATCTTTCACAGTCGTTCTTATTATTATTTAGAGACTCCTTTACATTAAAATACACTTGTCCAATCGGACAAGTGCCCAGCAATATTCACTTGTCCGTAATTTTTTTTCACTGGTACCGGGCAAGCGGACAAGCGTTAATGTCGAGCCCTGTCATGCAGATAAAGTTAAACAGGGAAAGTACTAGAGTGCATGTAAAATGTTAACAAACATCTAAACATTAAATTCTCAGAATAAGAAAAAACAAGATGTGTTTGTGAAACACTGATGCCCCCGTATGGCAGCTTATGGCGAAGGTTAAAGTTTCTTCAAATGCAAGTCAAAATCCAGACCAAAAGATAAAAAATGTTGATACCCAAAGAAAGGTCTTGTCTCGAGGAATACACCTGTGAAATTTGAAAGACCTAGATACAACTGTTCAAAAGTTATGGTGAAGGTTAAAGTTTTTTAAATAAAAGTCAAACGTCAAGGTCAAGGTCAAAGTGGTTGGTATCCAAAGGAAGATCTTGTCACAAGGATTACATATGTGAAGTATGAAAGCCCTAGCACCAACCATTCAAAAGTTATGGCCAAGGTTAAAGTTTTTCAAAAGTAGGTCAAACTCCTAGGTCAAGGTCAAAGGGTCAAAGAGGTTGGTATCCAAAGGAAGGTCTTGTCAAAAGGATTACAAATGTGAAGTATGAAAGCCCTAGCATCAACCATTCAAAAGTTATGCCCAAGGTTAATGTTTTTCAAAAGTAGGTCAAACTCCAAGGTCAAGGTCAAAGGGTCAAAGTGGTTGATATCCAGAGGAAGGTCTTGTCACAAGGAATACACATGTGAAGTTTGAAACCCTAAGCACCAACTGTTCAAAAGTTATGGCCAAGGTTAAAGTTTTTCAAAAGTAGGTCAAACTCCAAGGTCAAGGTCAAAAGGTCAAAGTTGTTGGTATCCAAAGGAAGGCCTTGTCACAAGGAATACACACGTGAAGTTTGAAACCCTTAGCACCAACTGTTCAAAAGTTATGGCCAAGGTTAAAGTTTTTCAAAAGTAGGTCAAACTCCAAGGTCAAGGTCAAAGGGTCAGAGTGGTTGATATCCAGAGGAAGGTCTTGTCACAAGGAATACACATGTGAAGTTTGAAACCCTAAGCACCAACTGTTCAAAAGTTATGGCCAAGGTTAAAGTTTTTCAAAAGTAGGTCAAACTCCAAGGTCAAGGTCAAAAGGTCAAAGTTGTTGGTATCCAAAGGAAGGCCTTGTCACAAGGAATACACACGTGAAGTTTGAAACCCTAAGCACCAACTGTTCAAAAGTTATGGCCAAGGTTAAAGTTTTTCAAAAGTAGGTCAAACTCCAAGGTCAAGGTCAAAAGGTCAAAGTTGTTGGTATCCAAAGGAAGACCTTGTCACAAAGAATACACATGTGAAGTATGAAACCCCAAGCACCAACTGTTCAGAAGTTATGGCCAAGGTTAAAGTCTCATAAAATTTTGCAAAAGTGGGTCAAACTCCAAGGTCAAAAGGTCAAATATGATGGTACCCAAAGAAAGGTCTTGTCACAAGGAATACACATGTGAAATATGAAAGTCATAGCTCCAACCAATCAAAAGTTATGGGCAAGGTTAAAGTTGACAACAGACAGACAGACAAACAGACAAACGGACAAACAGACAAATGGACAAACAGACAAACAGATAAACAGACAAACAGACAGACAGGACAAAAACAATATACCCCCAGGATCTTTCGATCCGGGGGCATAAAAAATTTTTTGTTTCCGTACCTATCATAGTCCTGGATGATGTTCCCCACTGCTTGAATAGCCGCAGCATATTGGTTTGGAGTTCCATACGGGTTCAGGTAATGCAGAGATGAGGGGGAAGACGGGTTTCCATTAGAAGCAGTGAAATCTATAGCTACTGTGAAGTTCATTTCAGTGCTACTAAAATCAATCAAGCCTTTTTTAATTTTCTCTGTTTCAAATGCTTTCAGTACTTGACATTTGTACCTTTGTATAAGTGTACATGTAGGTATTGAATCATGAATAAAAGTACCTTAATTTTTTTTATTTATCTCATTTAGATTACCTGCAAGTTAAATATTTAGAATAAATCCACTCAAACACACAAAAACCAAAAACAAAATCTAGATAATCTTCCTTCTTATAAAATTGGTGTAAAACTCCATAGTTATTGAAATTTTGCAAAGAATAGAAATAGTATTTTATCATCAGTTATAACAATTTTTTATGTTGCTACTGACCCACTCTGTATGTAATCCAGAAAGGAAAAGATCTGCTCTGATTTATAACTCAATAATAGCACCTACAAAAAAAAAAAAAGATTTAGGCATTTAGGTAAGACAGTGACAACATTCATCAAAAGAAAAGGAATAAGTATTGAAGATCTAGATAAATTGATATCAGCAATAGGTCATTAACAAATATAAAATATTCATGAGTTAAGCTTCATAATTATGCACGTAAATCATTATTTTGTATTATTTTACTGTCAGTAAGGAATATTTACAGTAATTAATTTGGATGATCTGCATTTCAAGTGAGACAACTAGAATCCTTTCATACAAATACATGTATCTTTTGCTCTGTTGAAATTTGGATGATCTGCATTTCAAGTGAGACAACTAGAATCCTTTCATACAAATACATGTATCTTATGCTCTGTTGAAATCGTACATTATGTTAAGATGATTATATACAAGTTTCCTTAAAGTATGTGGTTTACCTAAGGAATTGTATAATTCACAAGGTGACTGGAAATATCTAATTATGCAATACAGTTCCCTAGGAAACAGAGTCAGATTGGAAATTTGTGTGTATAGAAATTGTTCTTGCAAGTTACCTCCCCTGAATCTTTATATTTCTTTTTCTTTGCCTGTTTCTTTGGGTGTATAACCTAACAAATAAAAGAAAAAATCTTTTCATCTGGCATGTTCAAAATAATTGTATAAATATGGCCATAAATACTCTCAAGATCAATGATTCACTTCAAAATTTATAAACTGAGGAAGAGATACACAAAGAAAATGTCATGTTTTTTTTCTTTCCCATATACAAGATCTGACAATATTGGTGAATATCTTTTGATATATGTATTTAAGTCTCCAAATTACATATTCCATATCCAAATGTCAAGCAACTTTGTGGTACAGAAGACTTTCAATAACTTACCAGAAAAACATTAGAAGAACAAGGACCCCTTGACAATTCTCGTAGATTTGTTGTAAATTCTCCAATTAAATCATGCCTTAAAATAAATACAGAAATAAACAAATGTGAAATTTATGTTGAACAAGTTTCATCAACTTTCAGAAGTTGATTTTTACTTTGTTTTATAGAACGCTGTTGTACCATGGAATATATTGTTTGTGGATTATTTCAATGCATGTACATAGGTGTATGCGATGTAACATTATAGTCTATAAATTTCCTCATAATTACCGGTAAGTTTAAGAACTTCACTCTTTCATGATAAAAACTCTATTAAGTTATTTTCTGATTAATCCAGGCAGTTAATTCACATAAGAGAAGATATAAACTGATTGAAAAACTTTGTACATACCCTCCATCTTTGTCCCAGTCATAACATTCAAACTTAATGCTCCTAAATGTAAAAAAAAAAAAATACAGATAAGGTAATTTCATAAAAGCCAGCAAAATGACTGTTTAAATACCCATGCTGAAATTTTAAAACTCGGATACAACTGTACACTTCATTTTCAAATTTCAAATTTCTATCTTCTAATTTTTTTTTTTAGTTACGAAAAAATAAAAATTAATTTAATGTTCCTGGAAGATTTGTTTACATCTTTAATGAAGCTACAAAGCATGTGAAACACATTCCTTATAACACTCTAGTTATAATGAAAGGAACCTATTATGAAGTCAAATTCAAATCCCCTAGGGTGAATGTTTTCTGCACCTTCTTTGATGAGTACAATCACAAACCTACCTGTCATAATCTCCATTACACAATGCCCTGGACATGATTGTAAAAGGTTTCCACGTAGGATTTAATGTCTTCATGATGACTTCTGTTCTATGTACCACAGTGTAGCTACAATATCAGGGAGAAATTCAAAAGTCTGTACAAAGTACATACTTAATTCTATTGTAGCAGAATCATGCAAAGAAGAGAATGATTAAGACAGAGCAGCCTTGGTATGGACAAACTTTGTATATGATTTGACATTGTACATGTATATGCATTTCTTGGCATTTGAAACTTAGAAACTAACGAAACAATAAGATTAAGAGGATGTATTCAAATTTAAACAAATTACATTTCTCTGACAATTAAATTGTAAAATGATATGTTATAAAAATTGTTGTGATGCTAGATATCTGCTAAGCATTGTTATGTCTTTCTCCTTCAACTCAGATTTACATTGAAAACTTCGTAGACTTCCCTGTATCTTGGATAACTTGTTTTTGGAAGGGAGGGGGAGGGATCAGATATAACTGCCATCTTCATTCAACTGTGGGTAGGGGGTCAGTTAAGCTCACCTGCCATCTTCATTAACTCAGGATGACTATAAATACTTAGAAAGGGTAAATTTGGCTCACCCGCCATCTTCTTTAACTAAGGGTAACTGTAAATAAGGGACAGTTTAGCTCACCTGCCATCTTTATCTACTCAGGATTACTGTAAATAAGGGTCAGTTAAGCTCATCTGCCATCATCATTCAATCAGGAAAACTGTAAATAAGGGACAGTTTAGCTCACCTGCCATCTTCATTTACTCGGGATAACTGTAAATAAGGGTCAGATTTTCCGAAGAAATCCTTCTTATCCAGATGACTGGCTCGGAAATGAAGAGTTATCTCCTCCTGAATCCACAAACAAGATGAAAGTAACTTAAAAATTATGTGTGACTGAGAACTAAGTTAAATTTGTACATTATCAAATTTAACACACTTTCAGTACAAGTACTATAAATATAGCTTATTTTTGATATTTTTTTTTAAATATAAATGAAGACAAATTTTATGTTGTCATTTTTGTTGAGATACAAATGAAGTTGAAACTGAAAAGGGGCTACAAGTAACAGGAACACTACAATATCTCTGGCAGTGATTAAATCAACAAACCTTGCAATTGCTAAGCTCTTCTCCTCTGACTGTAAAACAAACAAACATACACACAGGTCAGCAACAAATATTAAGGGCTGCAACATGCTGAGTTTACATTTAATATACCATATACTGACACAGGTAATATAGTCATAAAGGTAAGAACTGGGCTGCAAAACATGGACAAGGCTTTATTAATTCTAACTAATACTTTGTACTTGTGAAATGCTATCTTCTCCTGAATACTGCCATGAACATTAATATCTATTCTGCCATTTTTTTTATTAAATATTGATGAAGTGGATTTATGATATACATTTTTGTAAATAATAAATAATGCAGTTCTACGTACAACACATCATTCCTGAAAACTTCCATGAAATATATGCTTTTCTTAAAAAAAAGTATATGCATTTGGGAACTAATTGTAATAATTAAATTTCATCTGCCTATAAAGATCTAACTTACTTACCTAACAATTTAGCCATACTAGTATCTAGAACTTACACAATTCCCATACAATACAGCAAGTCAATATTACATGTATATGCAGATATCTATAGTAATTCTGCAACATGTATGTTTTCAAAGCAGTATCTTTCTGATACATGTACACCATACATGTAGGAACACAGAGCAACACACACTAAGACACATTTATACTCTGAATTTTCAAAAAATATTTTCAAGCATCATGAAACACACAAAAGCTCAATACAATTATGGTGCTTTACCTATTATTGTCCCATTCTTTTTCCTAGAACCCCTGTAAAAAAAAATTACAAAATTTTGTATATTAATTTTTACTGGGTAGTCATTTTTGTTTATACATGTACATTACTGTTCTCAAAAATTCTAGATATCCGTGTTCGAGATACCGAAGTTCAACTGTATTTTATTTTTCCATTTTCAGAAACCTTTTAATTTTATATTTGGTAAATAAAATATTCAACCTAAAATATTCAAATATCAGAAAGAAAAGTGTAGGTTTACTGCAAAGGCTTTTCTAATTTTCCTCCAGGTGCCCCAACAATTTCTCCAAGGCTACACTCCATCCTTCCAATAAAATCCTATAGCAGAGAGTAATCAATAAATGAAATATTCATAGCAAACATATGTCTGATTATTGATGTTTACCAATATTTCATAAATTCTAAAAGTGGATATGCTTGGAGTATCATAATGATTTTTTTTTTTTTTGTAAATGTTATTTAAATATTCCTTATTCTTTCTTGAAACCACAAATATTTATACATGTATATATGCATATTATAATCACACAGTGAAGATCTAAGTTTCCATATTTTTTTCCCATCCCAAATCATCACCTATGTAATTAATGATTGATTCACTTACATGATTTTTCAAATTATGAGAAGGAGAATCTACATCATAGCTGAAAAAAAAAATTCAGATGTTGATTTACAAGGAAACACTTCAAAACACATAAATAAAAAATGCATTTCACATTTAAATACCCATATGTATAAAATATACAATTTTTTGTTATAAATTGCATTAAATTTTAGTCACATTTACTCACATTTCAAATTTAATGCTCTGTAATTCTTCAAAGAGGTAGGTAAGTGTAAATTTCTTGGCAAAGTTTGGATTGAGCTGGTTATCAATGGTCTCTGTTCTTCCAACCTGATTTCAAATCCATTTTTAATGATTATATACTATGATTCATTGACAAGCATTAGTTATCAAAATAATGATTACACGTTAGATGATTCAAGCACTAGTTATCAAAATACAGTTGCACAATAAGGTACCTTTATCTCTGTAATGGTATCAATTATAACATGCATGGTAAAATTTATCATTGAATAAAATTATACAAATTTCATGAATATTGAAGTAAACAGGTTTTGTTTCTTTTCAAAAAATATACTAACCTCATAGTATGAGTTGGTTTTTATATCTTTCATGAACAAAACACACATTGGGTCTGATTTGGAAAAAACATCCAAGTCTGCTAAGTTTCTAAAAATACATATAAATGAAGTACAACAACTAAATCATTCACAGGAAAGAATTTTAGTAGTAAATTAATAAAAATATAAGAGAAAGGGTTAAAGTATTGGATAAACTGAAGACTCAAAACCTGGACCTACTGTACCATGGGGATAGAACCCTGGACTAGCTGTGACCAATTCTGACTATTTACTATCATATAATTAACCAAACTAATTATCAGTATTCTGTTATATTGAATTAAGAGTTCCTTGTTTTGTTCACTTTAGATTTTCCATTCTGAAAACTCATGACATCTGCATACACTCTACTTTTCAGCATTGTACAAGTAAATAAATATAAAATGTATAAGAGTGTAATTTTAGCAACACGTTAAGTACCAAGCCAGGTAAATTGTTTTTTAAAACAATTCTTTGCTAAAAGTCTTTCAATGGCTTTAAACAATAATTTTTACAATAAAGCTAAAAAACAGTGCACATAAATTTGAATAAATGACCTGATCACACTTTCATGTTATTGCATATAATTAACAGTGATATTGAATGATACATGTACATGGTTGGGTATATAATAATTAGTTAAAACTTCTGACCTGCACTGTACACTGATTTCCACCTGGGTAGCGGGGACAACGGCAGTGCCTGCCTGAAATCCCCCTGGGGTTGTTGTCATTATGACGTGCTGAAAATGAGTGAGAACAAATTATTCCAACCTCATGTATATGCAAATTTCAATTGTTTTACTAGAATCCCCTGAACTTGTTTTTTCTTTTCCTTTTTTTTTTTTTTTTTATAGTTTACTTGAATCAACATATCAAAACTGTCAGGGGGCTAAATTGTTTCAGAAACGCCAACCTTTCAATGAATGGTACTTGATATACTAATGGATTGAAAAAAAATTACATTCACAATTTTCACGATTTACCATTTTACGCTGGAATTATATAAACCTACAGTGACTTACAGTATATGTATGTCCTAATCCTTTATCATAGATGAGATACAGTAGTTAGCATTAATCATTAATTAGTATTATCAGACTCCTTGATCTGTTTCCTTAAAGCTATTGGTAATTCGGAGAGTTTATAATTACACCTTCATGCATTATATCAATGTTACAGGAAAGGAGAAAATGTATGGCTGGATGGGGTATCGAACCAAGAACCCCTGCATAACTAGTCAGGCACTCTACCAACTGAGCTACCGAGGCCAATATCCATGGCCCAAACCATTACATCGAAATAGGATCTCAAGCCTTATGACATCGTTCTCTGGATAATCCACTGGCTTAAATTATCTAATAGCTTAATTTATTTCTACAATCTACAGCTGTAAATCTATTAACTATACTATATAATTAAACAGCCTAATCTTCCAGAACAGATGTAGAACATGTATATCACTGTATATTATGTTAGCCTGTTTAAGTTGGGTCCCTTTCCCCATATGGGATATTATAGCCCTTTTGGATTATAGTATTCCATGGGATATATATTTACAGGGAAAAAAAATCAGCTTGGAATATTGTAACACAACTGCATAAAAATACATCAAATGCAAAATCTTTTGGTAGTTGTTTTATTTATTTAGGACACTGATCCCACTGAAGATCCAAAACTTTTTGGGGATCAATATGATATCAATCTGAAAAATGGAAGGGATAAGGTAATTATTTTTATCTTCATTTTTAGCAATGTTTATTAACATTTCATTTCAGATATTATAACCCAAATGAGCTATTATATTATCCCATTGGAAAAGTGGTCCAACCCGCAACTTCACAGAATATATAGAAAATTTGAAAAAAAGGGTGGGGCACTTTGTGACTTACTAGATTTGCCTTTCAGAGATTTATATATTGTTTACAAAACAAATTGGGGGTTAATTACAAAGCTTGATCGAATACACATAAAAAAAAATTCTATGCGGGTCACATTCATTAAAAAAGAAATAAGAAGTCTTCTGCATTGGACAAACTGGGAAACCAAATGCAACACGGGGTGCTGTGAAGAGACCGAGACTTCGTTTGAATGGGGAAAAATCATCTCTAAGAGCTTGGTGGCCGTAAATTATCTAAAAAAGCTCCAATTCAATTTATACTCGCACATTTTTTAAAAATGGTGTATGTAATATTCGGAAATTTGTGCATGTTGTACAATCAAAATATTACAAAATCGTTTGTCATTCAAAACACACGTTATATAGAAAAATATAACACATACAAATGTTTATTCTACTCACTTTGGCCTTTTCTGAAGGCTTTAGTTTATAAGTCAATATTATGACAGGTCCTCAACAGTCAACTTTTGAATTAATCAACTTGTAAACAACATTTCAGACAAGCTAATTATTCTTTACTTTGTAAATCCCGATCCCGATGATAATTTGGTTTGCTCTCTATCCAGAGTTGTCTTCCGCTACGCTCCAAAATAACGTGGGAAGCTGTAGCGGGAACGACAGCTCTGGATAGAGAATGCAAAAAATAAAATAAAATGAAATAAATAAATAAATAAATAAATAGTACACTTTTAAAATCCGGAAAGGGGGAGGCATAATATGAGGAAAACCTGAATCTTTTCCTGTGCCAGGAAGTTTTCACACAATTAAGTTTCATCTTTTCGCTAGTGTACGACAAACACCATACAGACGGTCGACGCGTGAAAACTGACGAAAATAATAAGTCACCTAAGTGACTCAGGTAACCTGAAAATTATGCTGTAAACCACTATATTATTTTCGTGTAGTTACGCAAGACAATTGTTCGCAAAATTTTCATTTTGTTGTAAATTGGTATTGTTAAGGATAATATACAACAATAACCACATATCGTGAAAATTTTGTCTCGCTTATGACTTCCCGAATAGCTGTGTAAATAAGTTAATATAGTGATCTACAGTACGTACCATCTCTTCGTAGCAAAATAAAAATGCTGCATTAATAAGAATTACAAGTTTACGTATTTTTGACAACTAGATGAAATCCCGCGCAAGCGCGGGGAATTGAATTTATACCACTACCGACAGAAAATATATTGTAGTTCTCTACTGACAGCCTACAGGCTTATAGCAGGAACAAATACTTTGTTCAAAATCCCGCATGAAGTAGATTTACCTATCCCCCCCCCCACCCCCACCCCAACCCCCCGTTTTTGTGTTTGTTTTATTTTTTTTTAAAACTTGAATAATAGCAATTTCATTAATTGACGTTTATTGTGAAACCTGTTATACTATGTTATGGATATTGTACTTCAGATGCTCTTATTTCATTTCTGTCAAGGATAAAAGCAAGAATGTGCACATTTTACTAATAAATTGATTGGGGGGGGGGTAAAAATTCACAGGTACTTGGGTCTTGGTTTATAAATATGTTTGTACCTTATTGATATGTAAAAATGTACTTTACTTTTTTACCTATCAATAAGGTACATGTACATACATATTTATAAACCAAGAACCAAGTACCTGTGAAAAAATTAGCTTTTAACGCCCTATGAATAGGCTGAGTATTTGATACAAAAGACTAAGCTGCAATAATGTAGCCCTCTCCGATTATTTTTTTATCTGATATTTTCTGGCCTCTCTCTCTCTCTGCCCCCCCCCCCCTTCTCAAAAAAAGGAGAGGGTTACATTATTGCAGCTATAAAAGATTGTATTCAGAAATGAACTGTGCATTGATTAAAGCGCAAAATTTTACATGAACAATACCTTATTCATTAATTTTCTCTTTTCATGTAAGCAAGTTCATTACGAAAATTGTACTTCGGGTTCGTTGCCACGATGCTCTCAGTAAGGAATATATACAAATTTTACCGATAAATTTATTAGGAAAACCTACTACATACATGTATATGTAATAGTCTTTCGATATATACATAATTATATTCACAACTTATAGTGTAATCAGTGATTCACCATTATTTCAATTATGACCATTATGACCATTTACACAAAAGTTTTTTTTTATGGTCATGTAGTTATATAATCGCCTCGTTTTTTTCCTTAACATCGGGCTCGATGCTATATGATGTTCTAGAAGCTTCCGTCAATATAAAGATCGGTGAATGACGAAAATATTTTGAACATTTCCCTTTTTAATCGGTTATCACAACTTATTTCTTTTATATCATTTAAATCGAGTATTGATTGAATAATTCAGTGATGACGTTTTATGTAATAAATAAACGATTGCTTGTTGTCAGTTTCATTAAAAATTGCCAGCAACTTAGATCCGCCAACCGGAAACGCCACCGTACTCACGTTTTAGCTATTTCATGGCTGTTTATAGAAAATGAAAGTAGACTTTTAATTTAATGTACGATACTTACTATGCGAGTGAAATCTAAATATAGTTTACGGACATCAACTTGTATCTAGTGTATTGTTAGGGGAGTAAGTAAGAACTCTGGTGCACCCTTTTCGGAGTTTATTTGCAAAATTTATTAATTTATAAGTATAGATTTCGCTCTGTAAATTCCATAAATTTAATCAGAGCATGTTTATTTTCTTGGAAATCTCAACTTAAAAACATTAAATACAATTAAGTTTCTTAAATGTTAAAATGTTAAAGCAAAAAGTGAAGATGAGTTTTAAGTATCTCAATCAAAATTATTAACAAGAACTTCTGGCGAGGCTTTATTGATAAAATGATCAACTATTCTGTTAAATTCATGAGACAATTTAGTAAAATCCACCCTATGATATTGGTATTTTAAAATAGTTACAAAATATACAATATACTGATATGTCGTCCAAATCCTTTATGATACCTTCTTTTCCACGAATAATGAACAATAAAACTGATTGTATATAGCTGAAATTTTAATAGTTGTAGCAGTTGCTTCACGAAACAGAGACCATACCGAGTCCACTAAAAAAATAATGGTCATCTCGAACAAAATGCCAATTAATGTTAAAAGCAATCTGATTAAAATCAGATCCTTTGATCCGCTCCTTGTGTAGCGATCTATGTGAGCGGATCAAAGGATCTGATTTTAATCAGATTGTGTTAAAAGAAAAACAAGAGGCCCATGGGCCACATCGCTCACCTGAGCACATTGGCAAGGCAGAAGCACAAATCAGTTCAGTATTAAAAAGATTACGGGGGGGGGGGGGGGGGCTTGAATTTTAAACTACCTGATGATGCTTCCATGTCAATATAACAAATGGCTTTGTTGTACTTGAGATGATTTTTAAAAATTGTTCCCATATATTCCTTTGTAAAAACTTGATCCCCCATTGTGGCTCCTCCCTATCCCAGGGGTCATCATTTGAACAAACTTGAATCTACACTACCTGAGGATGCTTCCATATCAATATGACTAAACATAGGCTAGCTTTTCTGTTCTTGAGAAGAAATTTTTTTCTATATGTTCTTATGTAAAACTTTCGATCCCCCTATTGGGCCCCACCCTACCCTCAGGGGTCATCATTTGAACAAAATTGAATTTACACTACCTGAAGATGCTTCCATATCAAAATGACTAAACATGATTTTCTGTTCTTGAGAAGAAGATATTTTCCTATATGTTCCTATGTAAAATTTTCGATCCCCCATCCCTATCTCCTGGGGTCATCATTTTAACAAACTTGAATCTACACTACCTGAGGATGCTTCCATATCAAAATGAAATCATGGCTTTGCAGTTCTTCATCAGAAGATATCTTCCTATACATTTCTATTTCAGACTTTTATCCTCTATTATGGCCCCACCCTACCCAGGGGGTCATGATTTGAACATACTTGAATCTACACTAACTGAGGATACTTCCACATAAATATGATCAATCAGGGCTTTGCTGTTCCTGAGAAGAAGATTTTTAAAGATTTTTCCTATACATTTCTGTGCAAAACTTTGATCCTCCATTGTGGCCCCGCCCTACCCCCGGGGGGTCAGGATTTGAACAAACTTGAATCTACACTACCTGAGGATACTTCCACATAAATATGATCAATCAGGGCTTTGCTG